TTTTAATGGAAGATTTTCCAATCAAAATGAAACCATCAGAACTTTACTAAATGGACTTTAATGTAACCATTTGGGACATTTCCTATGGTATAAAGATACTTTCATGAGTAGAGTTATGGAAATACCTGAAAGTAAAAATGAATATTGGAAAAACAAATTTGTTGATGGTCTTCCCCCATTATTCTCTGAAAGAGTGAAGAAAGTCTTAAGAGGTGACAAATTAGAAATTCCTTATAATACATTAACTTATGGAAAGTTAATAGGGACTTGCACCCAAGAAGGATTAAATCTCTGTAATGAGCTTAAACTTGCTCAACAGATAAAAAGAACTCAAAAATCTGAAAGGTCTCAATTGGGAGATTTTTGTACACAATTTGGTATAGAAGGACCGTCTAAACTAGAGACGAGTCATGTTGAAGAAAGACATCATAAAAGACGTCATCGTTTAAAACAACATAAAGAAAAGAAAGAAGAAAAGAAATCTCATAGGAAAACAACAAGGTTTGCTAAAAACTTCTCTACAAGGGATTTGAAAAAAATTAAATGTTACAAATGTGGACGATTTGGTCATCTTGCAAACAATTGCAAGGCTCAAAAGTTCAAAGCTTTGGAGTTGGATGAAACAACCCAAGACAAACTCTATGAGTTACTTTATGAATCAGATTCAGATTCTAATTCTTCTGATAAATCAGAAAATTCTTCAGGTTATTCTACTGATGATAATGTTAATAATGTTGAGATTACTAATAAGTGTGCTAATTGTCCAGGTGGTAATTGTACTTGTGGTCATGATGAATTTTATAAATTACAGTCTCAGATAGGAGATTCTTATATTGATAAACTACATCAAAGTTTTGAAGATTTATCTTTCAAAATGATTTCTTCAGAAAATATTATTGAACTTTTAAAAGATGTTTCAGATGAAAATCTTAGAAATAAGATTTTAGATATGGCTTCTTCAAAACCTCTTCTTCAAAGATTTTTGAAAAACCAAAGAAAAATGAAGAAAAATCTTTTGAAAACTTCAATACTAGTCCTTATTCTATTCAAAAAGTATTTTCAAGACTTGAAAAGAAAGGAACAAGTGTTGTAAGAGATACTTCTTTGGATGATTTAAGACAAGAGGTTGAAAACCTTAAAAAAAGACAAAATCTTTAAAACAAAATCAGTTAATTAATGATCATCGTATTTCCCAACTAGAAATAATATTTCTGAAAAGGATATTCCTGTTTCTGAAAAAGGGAAAATGTTTTGGATAATGAAATTTCTGATTCAAGTTATAAATTTCTTGGAATGTTGCAGATTGTTACTAGTCATCGTTGGTATATAAATTGTACCATTCTAGTTAATAATGATTTTAAAATTTTGAGTGTTGCTATGATTGATAGTGGTGCTGTTGTTAGTTGCATTCAGGAAGGATTAATTCCTTCAAGATATTTTGAAAAAACTACGCATGTTGTTAAATATGCATCAAATCATGCTTTAGACATCAAATATAAATTGTCTAATACTTGTATTTGCCAGAGTAAAGTTTGCATTCCTCACTTTTTCTTCCTGGTTAAAAATCAATTATATCCGTCAATTATACTTGGTACTCCTTTTATAAATGCTATTTATCCTTTTTCTAAATTAAATGAGAAAGGTTTTACAGCAAATTATAATGGTAATACCATTAATTTTTATTTCATAACTGAACCTGTTACTAGAGATATTAACTCTTTGATTCATTTAAAACAAAAACGTATTGAATCTTTACAAATGGAAATTTACAGTCTGAATATTTCAGAGTCTTTACAATCTTTTAAAGTCCAAGAAAAAATTAAATTAATTTCTGGAAAAATAGCTTCTGATATTTGTGCAGATCATCCAAATGCCTTTTGGGACAGGAAAAAACATATTGTAACTCTGCCATATGAAGATTTTTTTGATGAAGCAAATATTCCTACAAAATCTCGCCCCTGTCAAATGAATTCTGAATTAGTTGATTTCTGCAAAAAAGAAATTGATAATTTATTATCTAAGGGTCTTATAAAACCCTCTAAATCTCCATGGTCTTGTACTGCATTTTATGTTAATAAAGCTGCAGAACAAGAAAGAGGTATTCCCAGGTTGGTAATAAATTACAAACCTTTAAACAAAGTTTTAAAATGGATTAGGTATCCTATTCCTAATAAAAAAAGATCTTCTTTCTAGATTATATGATGCCAATATATTTTCAAAATTTGATTTAAAATCAGGTTATTGGCAGATTCAACTTTTTAAAGAACATACTTATAAAACTGCGTTTAATGTTCCTTTCGGTCAATACGAATGGAATGCTATGCCTTTTAGTTTAAAAAACGCACCATCTGAATTTCAAAAAATCATGAATGACAATTTTAATCATTATATGGATTTTATAATTGTTTATATAGATGATATTCTTGTTTATTAAAAAACTTTAGAATCTCATATAAAGCATCTTGATATTTTCAAAAATATCGTCATTCAAAATGCATATCTAAAACCAAAATGAGTCTTTTCCAGACAGATGTAAGATTTTTGGGTCATCAAATTTTCCAAGGGAGAATTACTCCAATTCAGAGATCCATAGATTTTGCATCAAAATTTCCTGATGAAATTACTGATAAAGCAATGCTTCAAAGATTTTTGGGCAGTCTTAATTATATTTCTCCTTTTTATAAAAATCTTTCTAAAGACCTTGCTCCTTTAACTGACAGGTTAAAGAAAGGTAAAATGTTACCTTGGAATAATGATCTTACTAATTTAGTAAAATCTATTAAAAAAGGGTTCAATATTTGCCTTGTCTTTCTCTTGCTAACCCAAATTGGATAAAAATTATTGAAACTGATGCTTCAAATATAGGTTATGGATGAATTTTAAAGCAAATAAATCCCCATGATAAGATCGAATATCTTGTTCGATTCCATTCAGGCAAATGGTCTGAATTCCAGCAAAAATATGCGACTGTAGCACATGATATGCTCTGTATTGTCAAATGTGTTTTAAAATTCCAAGATGATTTATACAATCAAAAATTTATTATTAGGACTGATGCTCAATCGGTCAAGTATATGTTTAATAAAGATTTCAAGCATGATATTTCGAAATTAATCTTTGCCAGGTGGCAAGCACAATTAGCTCCTTTTGCTTTCGAAATTCATTATAAAAAGGGATCTGACAACTCTCTCCCTGATTTCTTATCCAGAGAATTTTTGAACTCTTAGCCTCTTTAAAAAGAATGTCCCCTTATTGTTATATTCTTGGAAATAAGGCTCTTATTACTATTCTTAAGGTTTTAGAACCTTTAAATCATAATTTAAGAGAAGATATTCTAGATAAAATATTTAATGATCTTCTTATGGAAGATTTCCTTCATGGTTATGAATTGGTACTTTCCCTAAATGATAATAATTGGGAATATGATATTGAAGGATATTTTGACAACTACTAAATTATGTTTTGCCAGAGGAGGAAGAAGTAGCCGAGGAAGAGGAAGATCATCCTCATCTTCTTCACAATCTAGGAGATCGTCATACGATTCCTCATTTCAAATTATACAACATGGAAATAGAACCCTGATTAAATCAAGGGTTGGAGAAGCCTCTTCATCAGCTTCATCTTCGATAAGTCTTAAGGATATTCCTAAAGACAGTTCATTATATGAACAGATTCAAGCATATTTGCAAACAAAAGAGCAAAGTTATACTTATGCCTCTTCAGTAAAAGAAGTTGACCCAATCAGCATCCCAGATGAAACAATGAAAAAAGAAATTATATTTCTTTTAGAAGACTCTGATATTCAGAGAAGCAATGAACCTTGGAATATACTCCAACGGTAGCTTACAAGAGGATTATATTTTCCTGGAGAGGCCTATAAATCTAGGTCCTATTATGAATCTATTCTTGTTTATAGTGAAAGTGCTGAATTCCAACACTTCTCGGACTTTGATAAAACTATTTATAACTGCTCCAAGATTACAATCAAGCAGATGATATCTGCTGAAGATTGGGGAATCTCCACTTTGCAGGAGAAACAAGTATCTGTTAATAGTGTGAATATGAATTTCACATATTGGGATTATATCCAAGTTTTTCACAAAGTCTTCTATTATAATAATAGCAAACCAAAACACACTTGGTTAATAAAAGTATGTGCTAAAGTTTTTGCTAAAAAATTATCAAATTGGTTTTTAAATTGGTGGTCTCTGCACCGGCCAACAGTGAAAAATTTTCCTGATAATTTTCTCAAGTTATACAAAAAAGGGGCAAAAGTCACTCCCTTTATAACAAATTTATTTTTAAAAGATCATGTTTCATGTATTGAAAAAATTGATCAGATGTACTTTTTTATAGAATTCTCCATTCCTTGGATTCATAAATGGATCCCAGAAGTGGGTTATACCCCTATTGATAATATCCCTTGTTTATACAGAAAGTATTTTACAAATTTTTGGGATAAATTAAATCGTAAAGATCCAGCAAATGGACAGTTATATGGACAAGAATTACTGGATAATATCACCAGTACAATAAAGATCTACCAAGACTTCCCTCAAAAGAATATTTCTGTTGGAAGTTCATTAAAAAATATTGCCAGAAGAATTTCCATTCAAGATGGAAATAAAGAAGACTTGATAAATAACTATCTGGCCGAAATAAAAGAGAACTTCTTGACAAATATAGCAGAATTTGCTAAATCAGACACTTCTATGAAAAGTGGACAAAGTGATACAGCAGATGCACAATCAGTGGATCAATATATGGAGCTATCAGAAGGACAGCTACAAAAGGTGGAAGATTTCTTGGCATCCATAAAGGATAAAGACAACACAAAAATGAAGAATCTAAAAGGAAAAGATAAGATCTAAGATAATGCAATCTTATCTTGTTAACTGTTTAAAACAGTGCGTAGGGCCCATATGAGGACCCCTTATTCTCTTTTCCTTTTCTATAAATAGCCTCATTTAGAGGCATAGAGGAACCAAGTTCGGAAATCCTCTCTCTCTAAAAACCTCTCTCTCTTCTTTGTAAAAACTCTCTAGTTTAAAATAATAAAGCTTTGGGTTGAAGAATTTCTTTAAGGTATAATTATGTCTTTCTTTTTTTATTATCATCTTCTTTAGTTGCCGCCTATATGGCCGGTTAAGTTATTTTCATATCTATGCTAACTTCATAACTTCTGTATGATGTTCTTACCTAATATCTGAATCTAACTAAGTTATATTGAAGTCTTATTATAGTTCTTAAACCTCTTATCACAAGTTTTGACTTGGTTTTGAGGTGGTGGCAAGTTATGAACATCAATGATAGCGAGCATGTGGTATTGTAAGTCCCCGATAAGATGAAGAAAGGCGCAGCCTGAAACCCTTGTTAGAACTGCTATCTATTGATATTTGAAACGAACTCCATGCTCGAGTAAAAGTTTACCATACAGCCAAAACTTAGGATAAGATTTTTAACATAACTATAATAAATTTCAAAGTATAACCTGGGTTTATACAAAGCTAGATCTGGATGGCCGTGCGGACTACCGCCAGCCTTAAAGATCCTGGAATTGTGTGTGTATATATATATATATATATATATACACACACATACAATTCCAGGATCTTTAAGGCTGGCGGTAGTCCGCACGGCCATGATGAAACTAACTTGCATTTGAGTCTGACTCACAAGTTAATTACTAGATGCTTGTTTGATAATTACAAATGTTTTGATTAAATTTAGAAGTTAAAAAATTGTTTTGATAAGAAAATCAACAATAATAACTAAAAAAATGATTCATCAAGTTTAGTAATGGGATAATGAAGAATATTGCACTATTTATATCATATTTTGTACACCTTTTTTCTTCATTAATAATACTTCAACTGAATATTGAAATTCCATTGAAGCTAAATGTTTTAATTCTAGAGAGGAAAGAAAAAACCATTTTGGATATCTTGAAAGACGTTTGAATGTGAATGGAAGATACGTCTCAAGTCATAAAACATTACAAAACTGCCCTTTCGTTACCGCCCCTGAGGTGTCGGGAATGAAACAATGCATGACATGCTTTTAAGTAAAAGATATACTAATCGAAGTCTTTTGAAACAAACCACTTCAAGACATATTTCCTTGAGCTCTCTAATGAAATTTCAAATTAAATAATTATCATAATGTAGAAAGAAGCGATAAGCGTTTAATATTTGGTTCTTAGCCTCACTGCACAACCACCACACATTTATATAAGTAACTGTCACATCATTAAAGACACAATGCCCTCAAACATTTTTACATCCTTTCCACTATATTATGGAGGGTACTTTTGTAAACAAATATTTTTTCTAGAAAAATTATGTAATGCATAATATTTTTTGTACAACAAACCAAACATTGCCTAAAAAAGTTTTATCATAACTAATACAAGTATTACTAATAGAATCAAACGACCCTTAGTGTATGTATAAGGAGGGGAGTTTTGTTTTTGTAGAAAGCGTTTTTTTTCTCCTTTTTAAGACTAGTTATGGTAACTATTACTATTTATTTTGTTTATTAAGAAATAGTTGTTTATACACATGACTTACCGTTTGTTTTAGGTTATTAATCTCCGTCCACTTTTATTTGTCATGTTGCAATTTCCGAATGTCAATTTGAAACAAACCACTTCAAGACATATATATTTCCTTGAGCATTCCAATGAAATTTCAAGTTAAATAATTATGTAATGCATAATATTTTAGTACAACAAATCAAACATTGCATAAAAAAATCTCATCATAACTAATACAAACATTACTAATACACCATATTATACATTATTCTTATATACTCTATCAAACGACCCCTAGTGTATGTGTAAGGAGGAAAGTTATTTTTTTAGAAAGCGTGTTTTTTTTTCACTTTTTAAAGACGATTTATGGTAAATATTACTATATATTTTATTATTAAGAAACCTTTGTTTATACATATTACTTACCGTTTGTTTTAGGTTATTAATCTCAGTCCATTTTTATTGTCATGTTGCAATTTTTGAAAGTCAATTTTATTAAATTCAAAATTAAATTAGATTATATTTATTCAATATTTTAAACAAAAAATTTAGATATTTAAAAACTATACGAAAAATACTACAAATTGCAATTTTTTTACATATCAATATGATGAAAAAATACATCGTAAAACGCTAGTCAAAGTTTTTATAGTTTGACTCTAAAAAGAAAAGTATGACAATTAAAAGTGGATAAATATAATACTATGTTACCATCGTATGATTAATGTTATACATCATCCGATATATTAAAAATTTACCTTTTCTATATGGTGTAAGAACTACTTTCTTTTACATTTATTATAATTCATTTAAAACAATGAAAAATGTGTCTTTGGATTAAGGAAAATATTAACTATAATAATCATAATGAAAAAAACTTACCCGCATCGGGTGTTTACATGAAATCAATGCAATCTCCATTAGTATGTGGTTTAATGGAGTAAAATGAACTATAAATTTCATGATGACCTTTTTCTTTTACATTGTGCTACATGTACTTTAACTATGCTTCCTACTATAATTACACTATATAAAGAAAATTTTACATTTTTAAATAAAAAGTTGCATAAGGTTACATGATAATTTTTACTGTAAAATTACCAAAACATATTATACATCCAATTGATATAAATTTTTTAAGACTAAAAAATATTGACAATATTTTATTCATAAATTAAAAATTCTTGAAATATTTTCAAAACCATGAAGGAAAAAGAATTTAAATTGTTTTCTAGTTGGTGAATGGTAAATAATTTCCATTTTCCACAAGGAACAATGATATTGGTGTGTTTGGTATTAAGGAAAGTTTCCCTAAAAATGTTAATTTGAAAAATAAGCTAGTTTCTAACTTAATTTCTCACGTTTGGTTGATGAGTGAAAAAATTATGAAAAATACTTTCTAGCACATGGTTGCTATATGAAATGTTCTTTTAGAAAATATCTTTTACTTTTGGCTAAAGAGTAAAAATATTTTTTTAGGAAAATAGTTTTTAATATGAAAATCAAAACGTGACACAACAAACGATTTAGGATCCTTAATACCAGCACCTAACTCTGACTCCTAACACGAGACCCGACATTCAAATTTTCACTTAACTCTGAGACTCAAATTGGAACACGACTCCAACACCCAACTTAGGACTTGTTCTCAATTTTCGACCATAGACTCAACATTGAAACAAAGATTTGACTCTGAAATCTAAACATTGACATGACCTAAAAACTCAATACTCAATCTAGAATATGACCTCGACATCTAACCCAGGTCCCTACTTCCAAATTGAGACCCGATCTGAAATTCCAAACCAGGATTTGAACCCACCTAGGACCTGGCTTTTGAACTCGAAACCAACTTTTGAACCCAAGACCCGACTTTCAAACTTGGGATTCAATTTCCGAACCTTGATTTGACCTCGAAAGATAAATCAGGACCTGCCACCTGAACCAAGACACGACCTCAATATTCGATTCAGAATCCAAAATCTACCCAACTCCATCCTAACTCACAACCCAAGTCTTTACTTCAAATCAAGATTCGATCCTAATTTTTAAACTGAGACCCGGTCTGAAATCCAAATTCTAAACCTTGATCTGACCTTGATATTTAAATAATGACGCGACACTCGAATTGAGTACCAACACTACAAATGGACTCAACTTTCAAATGAGGGCCATATATCGTCACCTAATCCATAACCTAACTTCTAAATGAGATCTGATTCCGAAGTTGACGATCAATCTGGGACCCAAACTCAACACTTCACTTACGACTTGACCTCGACTCTCGACCCGAAACTTGACTCCGACACCCAAATCGAACCACTGTCTTCACACCCATAACTAGAATGGCTCGACATCCAAACTAGATCCAAATTCAACACTTCATATAGGATCTGACCTCAACTCTCGACCCAAAACCTGGCTCTTACACCTTAGTCAGGACCCAACTTCTAAAATTGAATTCGACCCAAACATCGACAATTTATTTGGGACCCAAACTTGTCACCTAATTTAGGAACCTTCCTCGACTCTCGAACTGAAACTTGACTTTGATAACCAACTCTAAACTCTATTCAAACACATGATTTGGGACACATTCTCGAAATCTAATTTGTGATCTGACCATTAATATTAACTTGTAATTTGACCCCGACTCAATTTAAATGATATCACATGCCTCTTTGTTTGGCTAAATGGTATACACAACCAAATAATTAACGACAAGATCCTTTACTCTATTTCTATTAAGCTGAGACTTAAAGTTCTTTATTATATTCTTATCATCCTCCTTTATAACTATCAAAATATTGTAGAAGACGTTAAGTCAAAAGTAAAGCACAACGGACCTTTATAATGACCCATTTGATCTTTTTTTTTTGAAAGTTTTATGAATTTACCATTTTCCCCTTCCAATATTAACCCAAGTTGTTTCTAATTGAGTTTTAAAAATTGGTTTCGATCTTTGAGTTGTAAGTTTTGATTTTTCTAAGATTTGAGTTTGAAAGGCTAAAGTTATTTAAAGTGGTTTTTGGTGTCTTTTGGATTTTCGTGTGTCGGAATAGAATTTTATTGATTCCATCAGTCTCGAATGTGGAATTTTGATTCGTAGAATTGTTGGTTTTAAGATTCAAAGTCTTTTAAAGGATTTGAGACCCCAAGTTAAAAATTTGTGAAAATTTAACCTTTGGGTTAACCTTGGTGAACATTCGTGGTTCAGATGCTTGAATCAAAATTTTGAGATTTCATTAAATTTGGGGGATGATTTTAGGTCTATTAGGAGAGGTCATGATTGATTTTTGTGAGATCCCGAGCTTGATTTAGGCGTTATATTAGCTTCTTGTGACTTTCATGGATATCGGGTCAAGGAGACCTCTGATTCGTGTTTTGATAGTTTCATTGAGTCTGTAACATCGTGTATAGTCTATATTTATATATGGTTTGTGTGTATGAGTTCTGAATGAATCTCAAGGTTTATTTCGAAGCGTTCAGTGATGGTTTTATTTTCTAGTGTTGCAAGCCTCACAAATGAGAAAAAGTATTCATGATCGCGATGGTCACGTTAGCGAAAACCTGATTGCAATTGTGAAGGTTGCACTTGATCTGTCCTTTGCTTTTGTGATGGAAGGTCACAATCATGACCTTCGCTTCTGTGAAGGCCGAATAATAATCGTGATGTCCAAATTCTAGTGGGGTTCACTTTTGTGAAGCCATGGCTCTCAAATTTCAGGCCTTAAGCCCCATTTTTCATTTTGAATCTGCAAAACCCTTGGAGGCGATTTTAAAGATATTTCTTGTTCTAAATCTTTTAAAATATGTTTTTGTGATCCTAAAACTTTATTTTTCTTTGATTATTTATGGATTTTAACATCAAAGTTTGTGATTTGTCTTGTTGTTGACCTATTTGATTCATTGATGAAATGGTTGATAACACGAATGTGGACTTGAATTTCTTGAATTGTTGTCTCTTTCTTGTGGTGTGAACTTTCTTATATGCATTGATTGTTGTACATCGTGGTGAGAAAGGTAATATAAAGCCTATGGGAAATACTTTCAACTTGTGATATAATATAAATCTGATGGAGAATGGTTTCGTCTAGTGATATAATATAAAGCTGATGTGAAATGATTTCTGCTAATGATATAAAGTTCATGGGAAATGGTTTCCGCTAGTGATATGTTATAAAGCTGATGGAAAATAGTTTCGATCAATGATATTATACAAAGCCGATGGGATATGGTTCTGGCTAGTGATATTGTGCCAAAAGGAATGGTTTTGACAATAGTTTGATTATTGTGATTTAATGCATTTTTATGCTTATGTTTGACCTACTTGTGAACCATGATTGATGTTTTTGTTACTTGTGATTGATCTACTTCGCATTGAGATTGACTTACTTGATACATGTTGGATGGTGATTATTGAACCCTGCGATATGTGTATTGTAGAAATGTTATTGTCCAGTGGTGGAGCTATACTAGGCTTAGGGTGTCCGATTGGACACCCTTCGTCGGAAAATTTACACCTTATATATTAGTAAAATAATATTGTAGATGGTTAAATAACATATTTTGGAAACCCTAAAATTATAGTAATATGTCATAGCCTAGTTGGTTTCTGCAAAAAAAAGGTGCATGCAACTTGTTGTGTGCACGCAAGTTCAATTCCTACTATCTACACTTTGTTTTTACATTTTAAAAATTTTCCTAATTAACACCATTTTTAATTTTTTGCTTTTCCTTACAAATTTAAACAAAATTCAAAAGTAATTAATTAATTGAATTTTATACGCAAATCTTATTTATTTGATCTTTTCTATAAAGCTACTAAAAGTGATAGAGGCTCCATATAAAATTACTTTGTATAACACTCATTTAATTCTTTTTTTTTATTTTTCATGTTTCCTTGCTAGTCATAAGTGGTTCGTGAAATCTTGAAGCATAAAAACGATCTTATTCTAAATTAAATTTTCTCTTTGTTTTTTCTTTGTCCATTCACATCCACTTAAATAAACAGGAATATTAAAACTAAATATTATGTAGTTGATTATTTCTGGTATATTTTTTATTAAAAAATTAATTATTAATGTCATGTAGTTTGATTTACAAATTTTTAGTGCACCCATTTATCAAATGTTTTTATTTACCTATTCGGTTCTTGGACACCCTTAATGAATTTTCTGACTACGAACTGTTATTGTCTTGTTCGTACTCACTCTTTGCTTCTTCACTTGTGTAGTTTCTGAGCCCGGTATCGTGTGATTATGCTTCTATTTCAAAGGCTTGTTGAAGAACTATTCATAAGTAGCTGTTTTTCATCCCAGTGGGCCCTATTTGAGAGGCTAAAACCTGAGATTTGTACTTATTTCTTTCTTCCACACTTTATGTATTAGTGGTTTGCACACGTGAAAACTTTATTTTGGGGTGTGAATAGAATGAATAAGTTTTTCATTTTTATTTTGATCTTTGTTTATCTTTCATTTTTCTTTCTTTTCGTTGGGTTGAGGCTTATTTATCTTAGTGGAAATAGAAAAGTGTCATCATATCTAATCTTGGATTGTGACAATCACTTCCTGAATTGGTTTACTCAGCATACTAATGAATGATGATGGATGCATTTTTGGTCCATGGAAGTTATATTTCACCAACATAGTTTTCACCATTTTCCCAAAAGGAAGAAAATGGTGTCAGTCTTTTTAAAATTATCTTAACTTTGAACCGTATATCACTCACTCCAACTGACACATTTTGACATTATTATGCATTCTTCTAAAAAAAGATCAACAAAATATTTACAAGTTTGCTAATTTCATTATTATTAAATTTTAATAGAGACCTGAAAAAGGCCGAAAAGATTACATATATATTCTCGAAAAAATGTTTTCCTTGGAGGGAAATGCAATACACGTCTCATTCCCTTTAATTTTTCCTCGTAACAAACTGTCATGTAACATGTTGTACCATTGAATATTAATTATTTACAGTGATAAGAGACCTTGGAGAGGAGTTCTTCTACTTGGTTATCCTGACATAGGAAAAACAATATTGGCCAAATATATTGCTAAAGAGTGTGGGACAATATTTATAAATATTTCTTGTAGTTCGTTCTATGGAAAATTGCAGGATAGAGTAAACGATTGACACGGTGCTTATTTGAGTTTGCCCGTACTAATGCTCCAACAACAATTTTCATTGATGAGATTGAATATCTTGACAATTCTATTATTTACTTACCCTCTGGCACTACTAAGAGAATCAGTCTCATCGATGAAAATTGAAGTTCGAGCATGAGTATGGGTAAGCTCGATTATGCTTTGTGTTAATTTTTCACTCTCCCCGTACCCACACTTTGTAGCAAAAATTTTTGCCAAAATGTTTTCCCTGTGTCAAGAGGATCAAACATAAGAACTCCTCTCCAAGTTATATGCACTGGTTGACGGTATAAATATTGTCCAAATAATCAAATTATTTAAAAGATGATTACACATAAATTAAATGATTAGTAAACTAAACTAAAGGGCGAGTAATCCTATAAAAATAAATAAGAACTGAACACATAACTAATATTTAATATTTGGAAAAGTGAAAATGACACTATTATTCTTGAAATCTCAAATTGAGAGAGAGAAAAATAGCATTGGAGGCATAATTACATAATTGAAGAAAGAAAATTCATGGGTAGAGAATTAACACAAATCATTCTTCAAAGGATTGAATTATCATGGAAAAGGTAATTGACTAAGATTACAAAGAATTTCTTGCCTAGTAAAACATCAATACAAGTTGCTAGTCATACCCAAAAAATCTTCATGAGAATATTGGATTCTAATTCTAATTAAGATGAGCAAAAAGAGAGCAAAAAATCAAGATGAAAAGCCAAAACACTTGATTTATTGTATTTTTTTCTCTCATTTGAATTGAAATAAATATCCCTTTTTCATTCAAACTACAATATTTTTATAAATAGGCAAAACCTGTAGAGAGTACACAATTTTTATGCTATAGAGCATATTTAACTTACAGAAAAGAAAACTACAATCGACTAGTAAATAATACTATAGCTTCTTTATAATAACTAACACTACTAGTTCGAATTACAATATTGTATATAGAGAAATACAAATAAAGAAGATGTATCTGCCAACACTTTATTGTGCCTTCCAACATCGTCCTAGTCCTTGATCATTTTTCTTCTTCTTAACATTCTCAATTCCTTCAGAAGTATAGTATCAGGATCAGCCCCGTCTTCCTGGACTTTGAGATCCCTATCACGCTGATCATCTGGCTCCTTTGTTGACAATGTTGAAGTTGTACCATCACCTTTTTTGGTCCCGTCGTCCTTGTGCTTAGCAAGCCTCCCACGACCCTGTTTTTTTGGTTGCTCCAAATCCTCCTCTTTTTCCTTTTGTTGCTCCTTCTTTTGTGTATTTGACGAACTCCCCCTTCTCTTGCTCTTTCCTTTACTCTTTGAATTCAAGTGTTTGCTTTCACCAGGAAGCAAAAATCGTCCTCCATCAATCATAACAGTTTCCCCCCTTTCAAACATCTTCTGCAGATGATGTTTCAGCATTATCTTATGAGCCCTTGGCAAACTATCATTATTTTTTATGATAAACTCAGATATCGAGTCTTCATCAGAGCCCTCTTCTTAATCCAATTCCTGCAATGCTTGTTCAATCATACAAGCGTAAGGAGGATGATCAGGGGTAGTCTTAAGACCAGACATAATAATATCAAGGTGTTGTCGAAGAATTGAATTCTGGGACTCTGACAATGATGCATTTGGTTTACTGTTGGACATTTTAACAATTCCTTCTCTCAATTTGTCCATAGCTTTCTCAAGATTCATCTTCTTCTACAAATTTTTTTTGGAGTGTTGACAAATTATTGGAATGAGTATCCAATAATCTCACGAAGTTATTCTAAGTATAACTAATAATTTGGAGATGAACAAACAAGACTAGCCACTTACTGTAATATGTATTGGGGCTATAAGTTATAGGCCTATATATAAGAATCATGTGATGAAATTGGGCAAGAAATGGGTTGTAAATATAGGAAGATATAATTATAATTCTGCTTTTGACTCATGGTAAAATGAAAATAAAGTAAATCTGGAAGGATATTAATTATTATTTTGATTTTGACTCATTGTTAAATAAAAATAAAGTAAATATAAAAAGAAATTAATTACCTTTTGATTTTTGACTTATAGTCATTTGAAAATAAAGTAAATATAGAAAAATATTAATTATTATTCGATTTTTGACTCATGGTTAAAGGAAAATAAAGTAAATATAGAAAGATATTAACTATTATTTTATTTTAAATCACGGTCAAATGAAAAATAAAATAAATTTAAAAAGGTATTAATTACTTTTTATTTTTGACTCGTATTCAAATAAAAATAAAGTTAATATAAATATATATTAATTGTTATTCGGTTTTTGACTCCTACAAATGAAAATAAAGTAAATATGGAAAAATATTAATTATTATTTGATTTTTGATCATGGTCAAATGAAAATTAAAGTAAATTTAAGAATGTATTATTATTTTTTTGAATTTTGATTCATTCAAATGAAAATAAAGTAAATATAGAAAGATATTAACTATTATTTGATTTTTGACTCCTAGTTAAATGAACATAAAGTAGATATGGAAAAATATTAATCATTATTTGTCATGATTCAACTAACCGGGTGGTGCGGGCACCTACATACTAACACCATAATAGGAGAACCCTCAATTTCCAACCATTTAAAACATGCGAAAGATTTCGGAAAAGTAAAAATAGAGAGAAGTCAACTAGATTTATAAGTAAGAGTTTGTAAAAACTATTCTTGTTAAGAATTTAAAGTAATTAACATCCCCAGGGATATAGTCTAAAAAGGTACAAGAGAAACTGAGAGTTCAAGTTATAACAAAAGTAAAACGCACAAGTCCCACCACAAGGAAGAAAATATGGAAGCAATTGAAGATTATATTCATCTTCACCTATGAGACATCAATGATCCTACATACAAACTATGTCAAAACACTAAAACAAAAACAACTTTTAGTGGCATTAAATATTGACACTAATAAAAAGTGTTAAAGTCTTTACCACCATTAGTTAAGTGTCATTAGAACCAATGTCGCTAAAGGCTTTAGGGACATACACAAAGAGTAACAATTGCTACTAAAAATACATATTTAGCGGCAATTAAAAATTAAATGCCACTAATGGTCATTTTTGTTGTAGGGAAAGACATAGCAAGAGTAGTATCAGTACAAAACACACGTACTGGTAGGTATCATCGATCAACCCGATACCCACCGCATAATATAAGAAATCAGCCAGTGAAAAACATGTGATGAGACTATTCGCTTCTCCACCTTTATATTTATCCTACCCTTACATATTCTTGATAATTGACATTACCAACCTGGCAACCCACTTACGGAATAATGGTACACTTCTTTCCCGTCTCCACTCACTTATAGACATGTACTACGCCTATCAAGGATTACTATCCCCTTCATAAAACCATCCCCTAACCTCGAGAATAATACCCAGAATTTCATTCTCAATAACAAAGCTATCACCGATAAATTTAGGAAACATGCGCAATTCGACATTATCAAATATACAAACCTTTATACATATAATACAAGACAATGGCCCTCTCGTAGAACCCACACTCAAACTTTTATCCTACCAAAATGTGATATACGGTCCAATATTTATGACGGGACGTGGAAATTGATCCCATGTTTACGCCGGAACATGGAAAACGATCCAAGTTACTGTGTCGAAATGCAACACCCGGTCCATTCAACAAGCTACAGTCACAATCACAACTATATTTTCAAAAATCATACAATCAAGTAATGATTAATGACACATTCATCTATTCTCATTTACAATTAGTATGATCAATAATACAACATCCATATATTTACATGTATTATAATGAAGCAAGAACAAACATATATCACTTAACATGAAATCATAACCATCACCACACCCTAGTTCATTTGTTAGGACTTCCCCATATGCTATACTTCTAAGGTATTACCTAGGCTACCATTAAAACTTTCTCTTTTAGGTGCACTAAGGTCTACACATGAATTCTACCTTCAAGATGAATATATTATGCAGTAAGTAATAGATTTATAACTACTCAATTAATAAACCTAGCCTACCTGGGGGCCAAGCAACTACACAGAGTTTTTGGCTTCGATTCTTTTTTTTTTCGAGATTAATGATGGGGATCTTGACTGAAGATTCTCAATCCATCAATCTCCTTACGCTATAAATCTCCTTCTCCTTCTTCCACAAGCTTAGAGCAGCTTTTGGGGGGTTTCTAGGGTGGTTTAAATTAGGTGTTTCACGTTAATTATATTTTGTCTCACCTATCCCTCTATGGCGCCA